GTTTCTTGAACAAGTAGTTCAGTTGGGCTCTTTTTTGTGTCACCGTAATAAAAATGAATTGGCTGCAGCTGTACATACCCAAGTCAACAGGGGGTTTTGCACAGTTCACCAAGTTATTCCAGGCTAATTGGAAACCACATAGGGATGTTATTGACGTTCATTATTATATCACATTTTTGTCAGTAGCCTATTTCCGGCTTGATGTTGCAGTGTTTCAATAGGCTAATAAGCAGCAGAAACATGATTGATTCATTAAAGATCATGCAAGTTTTTGGTAAACACTTTATATTTCTATCTAAGCCAGATGAAAGACAAAATGTCGACACTATTTAATAACGTTACTCTCTTGGGCCTTTTGGGAAACAGCTTTTTAACATGATATAAGATCTGCAAATACCGTGATCACTGCAATTTTGGGTTCATTTTGGCTAATGTGCTGGTTAATTTACAGGCACTTACATATCTGACACGCATGTCCTCTTCCAAAGACATTTGAAATTGTGTGGTCTCATCACTTCTCTACTTCACTGCTTCAGAGGGTGAAGGCAGCACAGTGCAGCCCCTGCCTTGGGTTTTGATGTTGAGGTGTGGACGCCACCTTGTGGTCAAAACCTGCAAGTGTAACAAGGCCATGAGAAAAATTCAGTCCGGGAGAAAAAAAACATAAGTAAAAATAAAGCTATCCAGGCAAAGAACGCAAACGTGCGACAGAACAAACCAGAGTCATCTGGTTACAGCAACCTACTCCACTCCTCACATTTTATGAATATCAAAACAGGTTCTCATGGGGAACTTAACTTCTGCATCACTAGGACTAGAAGGGCTCTCAACCCTCTAAACACATTCAGTTAAATTCTTTTCACAACACACCGGTGTGTTATTGGCCTTTTTCACAGCAGCCACTTGTCATAGTGGAAAAAGCATAGGTGTTACTAATAACTGTTACTGACCTATAAAAGTGTCCCAGTAAGTCCAGCAGTGAGCTGGTGTGTGCGGTACCAGGCTCCTCAATCTGAGGCAGGTACTGTAAATAACATGAAAATACCTTTTCTATTAACACCTTCAAACAACAACCACATGATTAAATACCTGACTTTCACAATATAGCAAGTAATCAAGAACTGTTGGCACACTAGTCCTAAAGTTACTTAGTTAAAGGTTTTTAAAACCAAACAGCTAAAAAATAGACTAATACTTTTCACAATATTTAAATTGTTATTACTTCTGCTTCCCAGAAATAAAATGCCACAGGACCTTACTCTTTGGAGTCTTTATTTGGCATCTCCATTTATTTTAAAAACTCGTTCTAACTGGCATAAACACAAAGTAAACAGCTGTCTTTTATGTTGGCAGCAGTAGCACTTGTTCTACCAAAAAATAAATAAATAAAATCATTAAAAAAAAGTTAAGCCCTCCTACAGGACATATTTGGTTGTGATGAAACATCCCCATCAGGTTAATTCTCTGGAAATCTCATCTAGACTGAAAGATCTGCCTACAGTAACTCACCCTGTATAAATCAGCCTAGGGTTAGCAGTGGCTTCTCGTGCATCATTGTTTTTTTGTTTGTTTCCATTTCAACCAGTTCATCTTTATACTGTAAAATACAACAGAGGTAGTTTAAAGCTCCCAGTTGGCTACTGCTCAACTGTGTCTTATTGCTCACACCCAGAAGAACGTTTTTATTCCTGACTTGGATCAGGAATAATACATAAAGATATGATAAATACCTCTAGGGGCAAATTCTGAGCCTTTATCAGTGACATTTTGGGGACAATGACCACACCATACTGTCTGACTGTAAAGAAAATGGGGCAGGGCCCTCAGGCACTATTTACACTGATCAAAATTTGACTGCTATTCTGAATA